ACATTGCTGTGTTTGTATTTCAGACAGCTTATCATGCCTGATGAAATTCTGCTGAAAAACTCTGTATTGGTAACGTCACGCTGTGATGTAGATCATGGTGGCCAGTAGCCACCATTGTAAAATGCCAATCATACAGTACAGTAGCATTTGCCTTCTGATTGGTTAAAAACTGATAGAAAAAAGTCCAGTCAATAGTGCAGATAAAGGCACTCCTGACAAGACGGTCCTGTCAATACTACAATAGTCAATAGTCAATTGCAATGACCAAGAACAAACACCCCCGCTTGAAAATACTGTACATCGTGTAATAAAAATATGAGAAGGGGGCAGATCGGCCACATCGAGCAGACCTTATCTCATTTTTTCCGCTGAGAATTAATGTGATAAGACAGTTCCGAAAAGGCGACTTCAAGTCAATACATGGCCTCATGGATATCTTCGAAATCATGGGCACAGATAACAACCATACACTAATAATGAGATTGGGTTGAGTCCTATACTAAGATCGTACTCCTCGTTTCCCCGAGCTTCCTGTGTTCGGCTGTAGTTAACCTCAAAGCTATGTCTTACTTCCTCTCATGTCAGCGAAGTGGCGTTATCGGTGTCATTGATAATGCTGATATCCATGTATTAACTTGAAGTCGCCTTTTCAGAACTGTCTTATCACATTAATTCTCAGCGGAAAAATGAGATAAGGTCTGCTCGATGTGGCCGTTTTAGGCAAGCTTTACTCATATGTGACACCCTGCAGTGACATCCCGGGATTCCGCATACTTAATGGAGAATACTGTGTACAGTATTTTTGTATGGTTAGTTTTAGGATAGCCTTGTCAACGGGCCGGCTTTAGCGGGGGGGGGGCGGTTCTGTTATGACCAGCTGCCCCCAAAGCTGACGACCCCTTATCTCATTAATTCACTAGAAGAAGAGTTCTGAATCTCTATCTAGTGAATTAATGAGATAGCGACCCCTTATCTCATTAATTCACTAGAAGAATAGTTCTGATTTCTCTATCTAGTGAATTAATGAGATAGCGACCCCTTATCTCATTAATTCACTAGAAGAAGAATTCTGATTCTCTATCTAGTGAATTAATGAGATAGCGACCTCTTATCTCATTAATTCACTAGAAGAAGAATTCTGATTCTCTATCTAGTGAATTAATGAGATAGTGACCTCTTATCTCATTAATTCACTAGAAGAATGCGATTCCTGTCTTCTTTTCTTGTAGCGAAATAATGTGATATGCTTCATACAACCGTTATCACGTCTGAAAGTAGTTATCACGGGTTTATGCTGAAATTGTTTTTTGAATTAAAAAAATGAGATAAATAGCTGAAGCTATCTATTCATCTGTAGGAGTTGAGCAGACTCCAGCGTGGCGTGACCTGTCGGTCAGCTGGAGGCTGGATCTCCGCTGTGGGGACGGGTTCTCGGCGCCTGGTGCTGCAGTAGCTGAGTGTGATCCTCACTCCTGTAACCCCTGCTGTTCTGGTAGTGGATGGTGCGGAAACACTGAAGGTCACTGTGGATGTCCGGACTGTGTGGACTACAGGTCTCATGGGGGTAACAGGAATCATTTTATAAGACTTAGTGAAAATAAATGAGTCCCTTACCCTGGATTACATAAAAGAACCGAGCCGGTTGGCTCGATCGGCTGATTTTGATCCAAACTGGCTCTGGGTAGCTCCTGTTTCACATGGTCCTATTATATGATTAATAAAAGAGGCTAAGCTTTTTGATGAACGCTACGTCGGCGCAACACATTCCAGTAAGTTTCTTCGATGGTCACATAGCTCACTTTAAAATTTATAATTAAAATTAAACTATTATTCCTTGTTATTTCAACATAGTTATTGGGACTAGATGGAGAGATGATGGCCGCTGCGGTCCGGAGTTCCCCGCTTCCGGGGCAAACCCAGGAGAATGTGACCCCATTTCGCTGCTCCCATGCTGCTCTGCGGCTGGTGAATGTGGCGGGACAGCTGCGCACTGCAGATGTGAAGGATGCATCGATTTCAGAAACGGTACGTCAACAGGTTTTAAAGAAGTACTACGTAGGAGACGAGAATCAGTGTTAACTGTAACAAAATGGAGAAATTGAAACTGCATTCGTCTGCATTAACCACTACCAGTCGACACTTATTGTTTTAAAGTAGGTTTTGCTTTTTAATGCAGCTTTTTAAAAAATAAAGCAAACAATCCCGGTACCGCAAAAAATGTGTCAAAGATTTTAAACATCAGGCTGGCATTCAATAGAGCTTATTTACCACACGTCATCATGGCGTCACCACCCCTCATGTCCCGTGCGACGCCATTTTGGGGTGCATCTCTACAGCGAGTTTCCAAGCGTTGAAATGGCCGACAAACGTTAGGTAACCTGTCCTTTGTCCTATTACACGAAGAGTTTAGCACCACTCATACCTCTCGTTACTGGAGCAAAATAAAATCTGTTGGGGTTGACCAGTTTCTGTTGAGTTTTGATCAGTTTGATCGAGACGGCGTCTACCGCCAGCGGAGTCCATTGACGCGACTTAGCTTCGTATTTGGTACTCACGGGGCAGAAGTTTTTACACACAGGATCGGTTCAAACCCTTTAAGAGTCTGGAAGCGTTGTATCAGGATGTGTAGAGAGTGTTGTGGGACAGTTGCGTGGTGGCAAGTACGTTGTAGTCGGGATACGCAAAAGGTCGCTATTTTGGAACAGCCCGAGGACTGTGTCTGGATATTATATAACAAACAAAATGCGGGGCCATCGGCCGCCGGCCGCCATCCTCAGTCCGCACTGCCACGACTGTGGTTGGACAAGGTGAGTGTTACACGTTGCCAGCGCCCTGTTCTACATGAACATTTACCACAGAGTAAAGGGACAGGTAGCTCCAATAGATTTAACGTGTCCATGGCTACTCACGTTGACATCTACAGCCCCCTACGCCAGGGTAAAACACACCGATTTCGGATCAGCAAAAAAAGATAAAAGCCGATCTTGAAAAATGAGACGTGGACATGGAGCCAGAACAACCCCAAGGACAATGTTACGAACAAGAAGAGTGTTCAAAACGTAGATTGTGGCCCAAAATACGCCACTATCGCCAAGAGTTTG